CTATCAGTTTGTTTGGGGAGGTATTTAAGGGAGATTTGAGAGGTTTTGAAAATGTCAGTAAGTAATTTAAGGTAAATTATAAAGAAATATTTGATGAGTCTCATCATTGTAGTAATATTTTTTCATATTAGAAGATTTTCGTAGAATTAGAAATATTCTCATATTCTCTTTTATTATGTGATAAATTATTATTATTTTTTGTAAACAAAAGCTTGTAACATATTTGAATATGTTAGTAAGATAATGCATTATGCAACTCTATACTCAAATATGTTAGTAATATAATGTATTATCCTCTTTTATAAAATAATATAATCGGTTATCAATTAGTATAATTAATTATGTTACTATATAATATATATAAAAAAAATAATTCTACTTTTATATGTGAATATAAGAAAAGGAATAAAATGATAATAATATATTATTTATTTTTATATAAAAATTTAACTATTTAAAATTTAATTTTAAAATATTATTTTCTTTTTATTTCTCACCTAATTTTACCATCTTAAATAATTACGAATTTCACTTTATTATTTATTTATTTATTTATCAAATCAATTCTCATTTATTTCTTCTACTTTTCTTTAATTTCCCTTCATCCTTCTCCTCCAAACAAAGCATAAGTAAAATTGAGTTTAATTTTTTTTAGGTAAAGTTTTATATTTAAATCAAGTAGATAAAAAAATATGATTAGAAAATTTTTTTTCTCTAAATATCATTAGCCAAGTTTCTTAATGTATTAGTTATTAATAAAATCAGTAGATATTTTACACTGATAACACAGTCATAAAATAAAAATTAAAAGGAACAAATAAAAATTTTCACAAAATGATCAATAATTAAAATATGAACATAGACTTTCATATGTTCGTCTCATTAATTCGTTAACGTTTTTCTGTTTTACTGTTCCTGAGGAAACAGTCAAAGAGCCAAACTAGTTTTGATAATTAATAATTAAAAATTCTACTATTTAGCAGAATTACTTTATACAATAGATTTGAATATTTAGTGGTGTTGCTAAAAAAGTTAAAGTAAAACAATTTTTTTTTACTAGAGTACAACCCAAAAGTTACCATAAGATCTAGATTCAATATGTTATCTTTATAATCTTTTTTATAGAAAAAAATAAAATTGTACTAGTAAGTAGCCCCTCGGTCAGATCCTAGGCCAATACAAGCACATAAACCAAAGCAATCCCCATTTAAATCACCTCTTCAGCTTTGGCCTTGGCCGAATACACCTTTCGGCTTTAAGGATAGCCGAATACACCTTTCGGCCTTAAGGATAGCCGAATACCTTTCTTGACAAGGAGGGGACCTCTTTGGCTTTGGCCTTGGCATTCAAATCACCTCTTCGGCTTTGGCCTTGGCCGAATACCCCTTTCAGCCTTAAGGATAGCCGAATACCTTTCTTGACAAGGAGGGGACCTCTTCGGCTTTGGCCTTGGCCGAATACCCCTTTCGGTCTTAAGGATAGCCGAATACCTTTCTTGACAAGGAGTGGAGCATCCCAAAACGAGACGAGAGCATCAGGAGGAAAAGCTCGAACCACCTCGGAAGATACCATAACCGAATACTCATTCGGCCTTAAGCTTGGCCGAACCCCTCTTCGGCCATAAGCTTGGCCGAACCCTTTGTGGGAACTCATTTGACATCAGGCTTAGGTGAACTCCCTTGGCCTTAGACTTGGCTGAATACCCCCTCGGCTATAGACACGGCCGAATATCTCTTCGGCTTACAGCTCGACCGAAGACTTAAGGGTCAACTGATGAGAAACATATGGCAAGATTAAGATACTCATCATACAATAATTATCACATCTAATCAAGAAAGATCAAGGTTAACTAAGGTATTACCCATCTCCCAAGACAGAAGGCCCATTAGGCCCAAATACGTCACTATAAATACACAGGTGATGAGACATAAAGAGGTACGATTTATTCCATATAAAAGCATTCATTGCTCTATACCGAATACTTACTTGATCGTTGAGTGCCTTTGCAGGTACCCTCCCCACTCATTGGAGACAGTATTCGGTCGGCTCCGAGGACTTGAAGATCATCAGGAAGGATCGACAGAAGGAGTGTTTCTACGCAGGAACAAAAATTAATAGATTTAAAAATATTGATACTAAATGTCCATATTAATGATGTTCTTGTGATAGTATTTATTGAGCTGATTTTCTAAATTGATACATTTACTACAATAGTCATGTATCATTACAATTTGAAGAATAATCAGGTGACTTCATCGACTTGCGTCAAATGTTATCATATTAGTTAATAAATTTGCCACTTTTTATTTTACATTATTTATTTTATAATTTCTCAACATAATCAAATTTAGTAAATTATACATCAACAAATCATTAGATACAAATGAAGCAAAAAAGGATCAAAATTAAAGTCTTCATATGGAATAATGGAATGTGGTCCCATTTCTTAGTTTTGGAAATTTGTGACGATGTTGACAGAGCTCTATAATAATGGAGGGCTAAAGTGCAATAAACATTGGTATTAGGGTTAAAATATAAAAACTATTAGCACCATTTGGACGGAGCATCCAACAATTTTTGGAAGCATTATAGAAGGCACCAAAAAATGTGTTGTATAACATAATGAGAAGTTATCTTTGCTTAAGTAGTGATGATAATTAATTGAAGCTTGTTTTCATTGTGCTTTATCATATGTTCTTAGTAGCTTGGTCCTTTTCTAGAGTACCTAATTAGCTTCCATATTTGTCAAAAAAGTGATCAGAAACCCCGGAATTAAAAGATGTCCCTAATTGAATAAAAACTTGGAGAAATTAATTTATTTCCTATTTATTTTGTGTTCAATATTGCACTGGCAGTTGGGTCCAACCTAGATGTACCTAAATGACAAAACAAAGTCCAAAAAGTGGAGGAAAAGAAAAAGGTTGTCATCACATATTATATTCTATGCCCTTGTTATTTATTTACATAGGGGTTCTTTACTACCTTAGTTACTTTCTCTAAGTATGATGATTAATTATGTCAAAAGTCTCACTTTCTCTTTCTCCTTCTTTAGACTTTTCCATGGTCAGTTTGTCAATCCTACTTGATTTCAATGCCTCCCTCTACAATTATGAAAATCTAGCTAAATCAACAAAGGGAAAAAGAAGTAAAGGGGTAAAATGGTAAATTTTCACTATGCTTGTGAATTCAGGAATTCTTCAATTGCTTTGCAAGGGTAATTAGGTTTGGAAACTTAATGATATAGCATGTGTTTAGAAACCTGTTCAATAATCAATACGTGCTTGCTTATATACAGCTATAAGATCAAGTTTATGGGAATATAAGTTTTCTCGAGATAAATTTCTTCTGTAAACAATAGCTCATAAGAAAAGAAAATAAACATTAATAAGGAAAGAAAATAAACATTACTAAATATAAGTGATACTTCTTCTGTTCTTTATTGTAAGAAAAAAAAATTATTTTTACATATAAATAAATTTAACTACTTTTTCATTATTTAATGATATTTTTTCTAAAATATTTTTTATTTAATACATGACATTTTAGTTACATTATTTATTTTGATATTTATAATAAAGACAGGAATAATTTTATGAAAATAACAAAATTTAATGTAAATAACTAACTTTCTTATATACAAAATGAATTATTTTTGTTTATGATAGAAAATAGAGGGAGTAGTGACTTGTTTTTCATAATTAAGCAGTTTAGTATTTGAATTCTGATTTTAAAAATAAAATAAATTATGTTAAGAGAAAAAATATAAATACTTACTTTGCAAGTACTCATTGCCTCGAGTAGGGATTAATAACAATTTCTAAAATTATAGATATTTTATATAAATATCATGATTAAAAAAACAAACATAAAAAACCAAATAAAAGTATTTTTTTTATTGGGTGTTGTTGAAGTATCACATATGAATGATTAGTTTTTAACATAAATATGTGTTAAAAATCTAACATCAACTTTTAATCCCACTTTTGATGAAATGTGCTCCCATTTCAAACACGTTTTATTATTATTAAAAAGATGTTCAATTTCAGTTAATGTGTTATATATATAATTATTTAAAATTAGCATGAATTTACATAATTAATTTTGAAAAAAATGTGAGTTAAAAGTATGAAATTTTAAAATTGATTTTATTTGATAAAAAAAGTTACTAATAATTATTTTTAATTGAATGTAAATTTAAATATCTTAAAATCGACTTTGATAATAGACAATTATACTCCAAACGTAATTTTGATGACTTTAGATACAACAAAATTACTTTCAAACATATTAAACACGGAACCGAAGAAACAAACACTCCTATTAACTAATGTATACTGTTAGATCAGTAGATAATTTTATTCTATATCTCCATTGAATAGTCACTGTCTTTTACCCTTTTTTAATACATGCATTTTCGTACTTATCAATTTTGTCTCAAATAGCATTGTTGATTTGAAAAAATCTTTGGCCAGTCACAAATCACAACTATTAATAAAAAAGCTCATCAAATTTTATCGAGTCATGAGTCATCTATCTCTCACTACGTCATTTTTCTATGTCTTTCTCCCCTTGTTGCAATTTTGATTTGATTGAAACTATTTAAAACCTTATTATCTTGCTTGAGAAACATTTTATTCAAATTACTAATCCTCTCTTACCATGTTTTTGTCCTTGTTTAATTTTTCCGTATACCTATCATGTGAATTTTCCTTTAAATTGCTCTAGAATTTACAAGATAAGAATATTGGCTTTATGTTTGTCTAATGTCAAGTATTATTCACCCACAGTACAAGAAACAGAACACTCACTGCAGAAAAAATCTTGCTAATTAGATTGCTGCATGGTTTCAGTTCAGAAGGACAATTAATCAGAACAATTTTAGTGATCAGTACCTATATACATAGGCACTGTGATGTAACTATTATTACAGACAGAGCACTGTCATTGTCTATAATTTGTTTTTTCATTAAAAACATAATAAATTAAGCAAGAAGAAAAAGAAAAGAAAAAGGTTTATACTTTACTACTTGATCTGAAAGGGAACATGATAAATAGAGAATACATAAACATGAAATTTTATCTAATATGAGTCAAACAAGAGAAAACCAAATCCCAAAACACATCACTATGTGTGGGTTTGAGTTGCTTAGAAAACTAATTTGGACACAATTTTACATAACCAAGAAGAGGACCCCCCTTCATTGAGTTGACCCACCCACCTTTCTCTTGAGTACAGCTATGTTTGATGAGAGACATTGGATAGAGTTAACTCCTTAGTACATACACTGTTGTGCAGTAAAAATGTGTCCCAACCAATAATCCTCATTTCCTAGTTCTCTCTTTGAATTGAGTCTCTTCATAAATTCTCTTTAGTGGTTGGTGTGAAATTGAATTGATACACATGATCATAAATTGGGAAATGCACCCTTTCTGCCTTATGATTATTCCCTTGGATATGTGGCAACAGAAATTGGAACTTGAAGAGACAAATTCAAAATTCAAAAAGAAAAATAGTCATCTAATAAAGAGGAGAAAGAGATTGTAGCAGTAGTATAATTTTGCTTAATAAACTATGGTTCTTCTGTTGCAACTTGAATCAAGACAGGAAGTGGCACTACTAAGGTGGAAGGAAGACCAATAGGGCATCATCTTCATTTCATGGAAGGAAACAAAGTTTACAATTTAAGCAAGCTATGTACCTTTTAAGTGAAAAATCAAATCATTCTCTAAATCATAGAACAAATTCCAACTGATTGTAACTCCTAGAAATAAAAGAGAAAATCATAGCCTAGTGATTGTGATGATGATGACGATGAGACAACAATCTATTTTTCATTTTTCCTCTCCTCAAGAGGGTGACTCTGAAACTCTAGGTGAAGTGACAGGGAACAAAGGCAAGAGCTGAGGCTGAAATTCTCTTGGAGTTGACATGGGAGAGGGATGCAAGTAGAACCCTTTTTCAGCTATGGCTCTCTCTTCCTCTGATGATGAAGAGCTTCCCAATGAAGGTGAGGACTTGTCAAAAGGGTCATGATGATTCAATGGAGTGACAGGGCTGAGAGTGAGGGAAGGGAAGTCAAGAAGGCTTGGGGAGAGGATCTCTGGCTTGTGGGGTGAGGAGAATCCTGAGATGTTGTTGTGTGCAAAATTGGGGACCAAGGTGTTGATCATGAGGCTGTTCTTGAGGTTGTTGTTGTTGTTGTTCCTCCTCTCATACAGCTTGAACCCTTGCTGCTTCTTTGGAGGGATGTTGAAGTTCTTGGATGGTTGTGGTGGAATTGGATCTTGTTGTTGAGGGTGTAGTTTTGTGGATTCTGATGAGCCTGTGAGCATTTGAACTACTTGCTTGAAAGTGGATGTGTCAGCTTGGACAAAGGTGGTAGGGTAAGGGGTGGAGTCAGATCTGGGGATGGATTTTGGTGTGGTGGGGATTTGGATGCCAATGTTATTGTTGTTGCTGAGATTGCTCCTTGGGGAGTTCATGGAAGGTGGAGTTTCTGTGTCTTGGAGCCTTAAGCTCATTTCCATTGATGGAAGACTAAAGGGTACTTTGTGTGTGCCTTGTACCAAAACCAAAGGAAGAGAGAAAAAGAGTTTGGATGAAATTTGGAGAAAGAAGATAGATAGATAGATGGATGGGATATATGGAAGAGTGAAAAACAAGGCTTGATGGAAGGAGGAAAGAGAGAGTAGCTTGCTTGTGTTTTTTGTTTTAGTTGGGAGCTAGTCTCTTCTTTCTTTATAATACCATTTTGAAATTTTCTTATGCTGATGAGATATTCTTTGTCTAGAGAAAATTGTAATTAACTCTGCTCTTTTGGTGGGGCTTGGAAGTGTGGTTGCAGAGAGAGAATGGCCCCAACGGTTTTGGGATCTATAAATAAAGACAGAAAGGATATTGGTAAATTAAAAATTCTTGTTTACAGCTGGTTCATACAATTTGTGATTATTAATTAATTATATAAACTAAATTTATATAAGATTTAATTCTCATTTTTCCTATAATTTCATAAACTCCACTTTTTAATTCATAAAATTAAAAATAATATATTTTTGTTCATATACAAATTATTTTACTTTTTTTTAATTGTTATAGTTTCATAAACCTTATCTTTCAGTCCTACAAAAATAAATAATTAAGATTAAAAGAATAAAACTAATTATATAAAAATTAAATTGAAATATTTATAATTATAAAGTTTAAAAGGTAAATTTTATATAATTACAGAGAGAGAAAAATAAAACCTTTATATAAATTTTATATTGAACAAGTTATTAAACAATAATTTATATAAAAGAAATCATTATATTTTTTTTAAAAAAATTGTAATAATGGTAGAAAAATATCAATATTATAAAAATTTATGCAACACAAAATTATATAATTAAGTAGTGTAGAAGCATACTCTGAATTGTTGATTGGCTTGTATGTTACATCTCTCATGCTAATTATGGTAGAATTAGGAGATTTTTTTGGCCAGAAACATGAGTGGCAAAGGCAAAAGCAAAAGCAAAGGCAAAGTTATTATGATTATAGAGTTTAAATATAGGAGTGTGTTTGACTTGAGAGACTCTTGTATTGGTGATGGGATTGGAATGATAGCTACACGTTTGATCACAACACCCATCCATCCCATTCCTAGATTGTGCTTTGTGCACTTTCAGACACACAGAGAGTGCATTGCACGAACCAATACCATTCATCTCTGCCATGCACAACACGGCTACCTAACCTAAGTCTTAAGGTGAATCAAGCTTGCAAGTACAACACAACAAAGTAGGATACACGTGTAAAAAACTTTTACTCTTTTTATACAAACTAAATTATCACAAGATACATTGCCACTACGTAAATCAACTAGTATCAAAATATTATAATTTAAAACTTAAGCTATGGATATATAATTACATTAACTACTTAAAAACAATATTTTGTTACTTGTAGTTGGTGGTCTTATTTGGTTTAATTTAAGTAGGATTGTTTCTAGAGTAAATTTTATAAATATCTCTAGAGGTTTCATGGGATTACACACTTTTTTTTTTTTTTTCTGTTCCTCTACTTACATCTCTTAATTGTTTGAAAAAACATTACCTTGACTCTTAGACTGATTACTTCATCTCTCTTAATTGCTTAAAAAAATATTACACTATGACTTTTAAATAAGGTTATCCTAAGCATTAAAAAAAAGGAGTTTATATGTAATTTCGCAAAACTCATATGAAATGTTAGGTAATTTATTTGTTTCTAAGAGAAGATATTCAAAAATAAAACTTATCTCAAAACACTTCTAAGAGAGTAAAATATGAAGGAGAAAGATTAATTCATAAACTAAAAGCTTATACATATACTATTTTGTAAAAGTTCTCTCCTAAAAGGTTAACTCTCAAAAATCTTATTTTTTTAATTAATTTTTGTATAAGCTAATTTTTTAATTTATAAAAAAAATTATTTTAATTTTTGTTTCTATTTTTCTCTTTAAGAAGTGTTTATGAAGAAACTTATCTAAATAGATTGTAACATAATATTTGGTTGGAGGGAAATGGAGGAGAAGGGAAAAGAGAAAAATCCATTTTCATCTAATTTTAACTTATTTTCAATATTTGAGAAGATTTGGAAAAAAAGAAAAAAATTTAAAATATTTTTAATATAATATCTAAAATATTCTTATTTTTATTATTAAATTTAAAGTTATAAGCATACAAAAATAAATTAATTTTTTAAAAATTTTCTTTAAAGATTTATCTTTCATTTCTTTCTTCTTCTTTCAGTTAAAAACAAAATTTTTAACTTAGCATTCTCTCTTGTCTTCTCCCTCCATTTAAATTCTTTTCCTCCTCTCCCTTTAATCAAATGAATCCTAAAATAATTTCGTGTTGAGGTAGTCCTGTGCACAAAATTATAAAAAAATTTGGTCCCAGAGAGAATAAAATAGTTTACATAGGGTCATGATGGTATTATTATTTACAGATTCTAGCGATTATTAAAAGTATGTTTATTGTTTTTGTATACATAAAGTCGTCTCTTTAATATTCTCTCAAAGAAAATAATGACAAAAAGTTAATTCTTTCTTTTCTATTTCAAAATATCATTATCACACTAATATTATATACAGGCTGGGCTGAGCTAAAAGTCAAATATTCATCAAGAAGAAAAATGTTCATAGGCAAAATGCTTCAAGCAAAAGAATAGTTAACTCCAGTTTTATTTTTTAATTGTCTATCTTATCTCAATTATATATAGCAAATGAGAAGTGTTGGTAGAGTTTATACTATAGAGATAATTTTTCTAATTCATTGCATGAAATTGACAAAAAAGAAAAAGACAAATTAATAATAAAGAAACTCCGTTAATGATATTACATATTTTTCTTTGATTGGATTTTGATTGGTTTTAATTGTTATGGATGAAGTCTCAATTAATTATTAATCATGTTACCGAATTTTCCGAACATTAAAAATATGATTTATTATGCTTATCCATGCAAATTATTTAATTATGGTTGATACATCTTGTGAAATTAATTACTTTATTTGTTTGAAAGTAATTTATGAAAACGAATAATATGAAGCTTTGCTGAAAGTATAATAATTTCTTTAAAGATTTGAAATCTTTTTTTAATTACTTATTTTTATTAGGATAGTCATAAATGTTCAGTGAAAATATTTATATATCATCAGTGTTAATGAATATGTATTTATAAGTATTTATATATTTTATGCTTCTAGCTTCTATATTTTGAAAAAGGAAGTTTTAGTCTTTATATTTTTTGAAATATGGTAAATTTGATTTTTCTTGGAATCAAAATGAAGTTTAAAATCAAACATAATTTATCAAAAATAAAACTAAAATATCTTGACCTATCTTGCATAGTATGTGCATAGGTTTCTCTAAAAAAATTTATATTAAAAATTATTTCATATAATATATATAAGTATTAGTTCATTTAAGTAAAAATTAAATAATGTAAATTTAAGGAAAGTAAGAAATTAAAAAATATCTATTATTATTAGTAACAATTCAAAATGAAAAAAAATAATATAAAAATAAAAATAATTAAAGTTAAGATTTGAAAATTTTAAATCTTGAAATAAAAAATATGTTAATATTAAAATTCTTAAATTAAAAATATATAATATTTAATAGTTTAATTATGTATACCTTATGTAATATATATATATATATATG